TATATTTCTGTATTTTTATGTGTATAAGTGTGTGCATGTGATATTTAGATCTACCAGGTCCGGTTGCGCAAGGAGATCCATTGTGCTCTATCCCATCATGTAGTTGGTATATTCGTCGTTGTGAAGTTTACTAGATTTATTGGTTCAGTGAGTCGCCTAGTTTACTACTGTACCGGACAGGTCGCGAGTTCGAGTCTTGTCTTGGGTCAATTTTCTTATGGGAGCCAATGTAGTCCCATTGAATACCCACTACATCCTCGTGTATTTGTATATTTTCATATATATATTGTCTAAAGTGAATCTGTGCGCTTTTGATCTAATCTTCATATACACTTACTCCCTATGGTGATAGCCGTCATTCTTTCAATCCATATGGTTCTACATACCTACGCTTTAACGTATATCTCAGTCCGTTTCTTGCCGACTTATAACCCATACCGTACCATCCACATGTAGGCTGCACGCGTGTCTAGACAACCTCAGTGAGTATCCCATGATGGATGCCACAGACACCCAGGGCTCTGGTGCCAAAGTAACCTCTGACGTCTCACGCGCTATTGTCACACGCCTGTCAGAATTTGTGGACAACGAGATATTTGTGCCACTCTTCTCAGGTGAGATACATGTGTGTATCTGATAGTCGCAGTGCTAGGCACATGGGTGATTGGCATTGTATTATACATGTGTGTGTATTTAATTAACACGGCGCATGCGTGATTGGCTTTGTATTATACATGTGTGTATTTGATTAACCCGGTGCTAAGCACATGGGTGATTGGCATTGTATTATACATGTGTGTGTATTTAATTAACACGGAGTATGCGCGATTGGCTTTGTATTTTACATGTGTGTGTATTTAATTAACCCAGTGCTAGGCACATGGGTGATTGGCTTTGTATTATACATGTGTATGTACCGCTACATATATGCCACTTCTCGTGTGATGGACATTGTACTATAAGTACGCCTGGTTTTATTAAAAACAGTGTGAGGACGGGTTTGTGGGTGAAAACTCCTGCAATTTCAACTCGGTTGTGGTGTGCGGCTGTGTGTGGGTGATGGGTACAGTCTGATGCACGTGTATCTGATTCACACGGCACTCTCCCTGTGTGGAACTATATTACCGCTGCGCTACACCATATACTATACATTTGAGCATATAGGCAGCAACATGCGTGTGTGTGCATTTCGAGGCTGAGCGATAGGTTTTATAGCTACAAGATGAGTACGTTTTATTATAGCCTTCTTGTTCAATTTAGAAGGCTATGGTTTTATCTTGAATGTGCAGCCCTCACCACTATTGTTTTGCAATCGATAAGTGTTATACATTGAGGTTTCTGTGAATATCTTAATTGGAGCTTTGTAGTGTTACATCCTCGCAGCGTGGTGTAGTTCCGAGTCGCAGTGAAGTGCGGTACACCTGGTGACGTATGCATTCAGCATGCATTCTCTATGCAGAATATTCATAGTTTAATGTGATACCATATCATATCATATCTATGAATACGAGTCTCATCGACCCTTGCCTTACTTTTCCTTCAGCGAGCGAACTGGCGCGTTTCGGACCTGCCCAGAGAAAAGAGGTGCAGACGTCCATGGAACGCCGGTGCTGTGCGGCGGTCAAGATAGCTCTGAATGCCCTGCAATTGGGTACATATGCCTCGGTGGTGGCCCTGCGGGATGTTGTTGTGGATGACATTTTGAACAAACATCTCATCCCTGCCTGGGAGGCTCTGGGCCCTACTACTGTGGTTGTGTCGCTTGTTATAAAGGTACTGTGGCGTTGTATGAACCGGATTGAGTGCCGTGGGTCGTGTAATCGATATAACTGTGGATTCGCATTGTTTGAACCGATTTGGTGTAGTGGTCGTGATACTCGCTATTCAATTGTTTCTACCCTTGTCAAAGGCAATGAATGTAGTGATCGTATCGCTTGCCCTATAGCTACCATTGACAGCTTATATTGAGTCGTCTTAGTACCAGCGGCACGCGTGGGTTTGTGTAGGCAACTCGTCTGCTCAGGCATCTGTGATGTGTCCTTCGATGTGACTGGTCTTTTAGTCCATGCGCATCAGTAGGTACACTGCCGCACTTGTACCTACTGTGACTCCATGACCTTATATGGCAAGCGTGTGTGTCCTTCACTGCGACTGGTCTTTTTTCCATGCGCATCAGTAGGAACACTGTTGCACATAACTTACTTGTTCCGCATAACAATATGGCAAGCGTGTACTTGTTGTGTATCTTGTCTGCGTCATGTCCTGTGAATAGGCAGAGCTTCCGCCTGACAATAGAAGCCTGCCACTCCTCCTTATTTGTCCTGTACCTATACACCACCAATCACACAAAACGTTCAGTGGTAGTGAAGCCTCGTCACAAGTTTCAACACACAATGGGAGCGCTGTGCAAAAATTGGGGCATTTCACGACAAGGACTGGACCACTACTTTTTTGAGCGAATTCAATTGTATTGTACGTTTGCGCGTATACGTATACGTACACAAGTACTTGTACCTTACCGCCAGGGCTGGCCCATCATAGCCGAGCGAATTATATCAAGCATTTTTACTTAAACATCATGAGCCTCACTCAGTACTATTCCATGCATAAAGGCCGGTAGTTTGTTGACATCGCACCTCTTCATTCAATCCTATCTGCGCCAAACCCTAAACCCTACACCCTAAACCCACCACACCTCTCAGATTGCCAACGCCCTGCCCGCTGATTGGCTCACGGATCTAACGAAGTTGGAAGAACTGTCACAGTTGTACAAATTCCGGAATTGCGTCAACACGCTCTATATAGAAAGCAACAGACGCGCTAACGAAGCCATAGACAACACCGAGTTGGGGAGGGTGCGGGCCTTATTGTATGATGTCAAACTATAACTTGGATGCCAGGGGGGTTTATAATATAAAAGAGTCGACCCACTAGCACTTAAATACTCTTAAACTATTCTCAAAAGCAAATTCAAGATGTCAAACTCAACTTCAACTTAGGTGCGAAGGGGTTCACAATATTAAAGAATCGACCCACAAACACTTAGATACTCTTGAACTATTCCCAAAAGCAAACCCTATATCTGAAGTTGGCGACGAAACCTTGTATGGCTTCGACGGTCGCACTATCAAAGCTTTAGCGTTCGATGTTACACAAAGCTATAGCATTCCGAAGCGTCTCTCGGGATGGACAAACTTAGATTCAGGTTTCGATATGTACAATACTGTAGGATTTTGAAACACCCTTTGGGATGGTCAAACTTAGATTCAAAATTCGTTGTTGTACAGTTTGAGGGGATTTTTCTAAAGTATCTTTTAGGCTTCAGCTTTCAATGTACAGTGCTTTAAGGTTTTGAAGCATTTTTTACGATAATCAAATTGATCATGAGCGTTCGATGTTGTACAATGTTTTAGCATTTTTGAGGGAACTTTTGGGATGGTCAAACTTAGCATGAGCGTCCGACATTTTAGGGGTTTGAGGCACTTGCTTGGATGGGCATACTTGTAGCTATAGCGTTGGGATATAGCTTGAAACAGAGGTGACTTATCCTTTACCAGAAGCGATCGGGGAGAAACTTACCGAGAACATATGAGCCTTAGGAGATTTATGGTGCAATCTAAATCGCCAACTAGGCGGAGTTGTCCATTTTTCAAATTCCAAGTAAACAATAGAGGTATCCTAAAGGTTTCCAATCTGACATCATCCGCGTGCGATATTCTCTTCAGAACGAATTACGCGAACACATTCTTACAAATATATATATACGTATACATATACACACATGCACGCATATTCACGTATACACACACATGTGGGACACACACCCATATATATATATACATATATATATA